CTGCATATCTTGGGAAAATATAATTTTTGTGGCAGTCGGGGGATCGGGGCCCATAGAGGGTGTTTTTTTTCTCGTTTGTTTTGTTTAGAGAAAAAGGGGGCATAAGTTCTATTCATTTGTAACAACTGTGATACTTGCTTCTAATAATAGATATTTGAAATATCCCAGAATGCATGTCGTCCATAACCTAAACGGGGTAGTGGCGGAAGAACGGAGAGTGTCGGAGTTTGAAATATTTCTCTCTCTCTGGATCACTAAATAAACTTTTAAGATATTTCCAGGCGAGAATGTTGCTGTATAAACTTAATCACATCACATATTTGCAAAAGTAACATTTTCGGAGATGCCTGTTACAACTGAGCGAGAGGGGCTGTCATTGTGTGTATATATGGATAATCGCAAAGACTGAAATACATTCTTGCACGCAGAAATGAATTTTGTTCGCTCAAAATCATTTTCTCCTCAACATGCAACATTTGCTCCTGCAATTTTTTTTTACGTGCGCTCTGAATAGAGGCGCGAAAATAACGCCATAAAATATGCACCCCTTTACTTTCACTTTTAAGCCGACTTATTAAAATTGCTTAGAAACTGTAACTCACCACTGCTTGCCTTGAGTAATGTCCCCAAAAGGACAAGAACTGCGAAGACGAACATTTGAAATCCTAAGCATATCCTTTTTCTCGTTTTAAACTCATTTTTTCGCGTTTTTTGAATCGTGTATGCTCGCCATTTCTTTCGACACGATCGGTCTTCCGGAGCAACTGGTGTAGATTAACCGGGCAATGTCAAACCAGGAAATAATCACTGTGCAGGGCGAGCACTCCCTCTGCCGCCTCTGCACTCCAGTATCAACACCCAACCCTACAACATAACCTAACAGATCTACACCTGAGTGCACAGATTCGGTTTGTATAGGGCTTTTTTTCTGGGATTACACACAACCCTGGAAAAATAATTAATACATAATGGGCTTGGATTAACAACATTATAAATGAAATGTGCTCTATTTGGAAGCAGCCCGCCCCCTCCCCTTTCAACAGGTTGTGTGTGAGACTTCAGCACAGCAGCAAGCAGGCGCACTGAGGGCCCTTGTGCTCACTTTTTGCGTATATGTGTTTGATAGAATTTAGAAAACACATTGGTGCAAATTATAAGTCCTTTCATAATGTCTTTAGTTTTTGTGTTTGTTGTAGGGCTGTCAACGTTAATGCCGTCATCACCATTAACGTGATTAAAATTTTAATCGGTGCCCATGCAATCCCCAAAATGCGTTGGCATGACGTCGGGGCAGCGTGGGTGCAAACAACTTCTTTTACCGATGCCATCCTGGGTAACCGCCCGTTTCAAAAACCGCTACTGCCACTGTGAATGTCTTTAAAATGGATCTCTTTGCTCGTTTTTTAATTTCTCTTTGCTATTTGGGCTGATTGGGACCTGATGAATGTAAAAACAAAGAATAATCAGATTTTATTTTTTAACCTGATTTTTGTTGGCTTTCTTCTTGCC